AAATCCGGTTTTTTATTTTTGGGGTGCTTATTGAATTAAAGAGTATGTCAGACAACACGCAGAGGAGTGGCAGAGGAGGCAATGTTTCAGGAGTGAGCAGACGTGGCAGCAGAGGAAGGGGTCGAGGCAGCACTAGTCGCAGCCAGAGGCCAGTGCTCCCGGTGTCATCCAGCGGTCGTGTCTCCACCGACAACCCTGCCGTCATCGATTGGTTGACTCGGTCGTCTTCCTCTTCCCAGGTCACCTCTGACACCTACACAGCCAACGGTCGGTGGGTACGTCAGACACAACCGTTAGTTGGCATGGCCCGGGAGCAAGCCCACTGAAATCACGTGTCCTCGACCTGCCCCTGTCCTTTGGTGTTCCCTCACCAAGCGAAGTATCGCATGCTGTGGGCTCAGCCCCACTGTACAGTGAGGAAGAGCTAACAGAGGGCGGTCAGGAACGGGGGGAGACATCTGCCTCTTCAGCAGCCAGGCAAAGAAGTACTGGCGAGGAGAGTGCTCGGTAGCCGGTCTAGAGACAGGTCTGTCTCCTGACCCACACGCAGCCGAGGGGGCTAGTAGTGACGCGGAGACCCTAATTGATGATGATGAGGCTGATCGCACTTGGCAGCCTCGTCGTCATCAGGCTATTGCTTCCGCATCATCAGGAGAAGAGGGTGCCAGCTTGCCAGCGAGCAAAACAGTCGGTGGGTTGCCCAGGAGGCAGCAGGGTCGCAGCAGTGTCAGTGGAGCCAAACGGCCACGGAGTAGAGCACCAGCTCCACTGCAGCCTACCACCACGGCCAGTAGTGGTGCCGGTGTGCACGGAGGAAGTAGCAGTCAGCCAGTGAGGAGTAGCGGGGGCAAAGTTTTCCTACGGCGGTGTGGCAATTTTTCGTCAAGACGCCCGAGGAAGTAAACGTAGCCGTATGTCGACTATGTGGCCAGAAAGTCAAGCGTGGCCAGGGGGCCAATGTTGGGACTACAGCGTTGCGTCAGCATATGCGTCTTCCCCCTCCCCCTAAAACATGGGCACATCACCCCCATACTAAAGAAAAGCGGTTCCCTGGACCCCACTGACCTCAACAACCTCAGACCAATTTCCCTGCTGCCACTCATGTCCAAGCTCCTTGAGCGCTTATCTACGATCGCCTAAGGCTCCAACACCTAACTGACAACAACCTCCTTGACCCACTACAGTCCGGCTTCCATCCCCTACACTCCACCGAAACTGCCCTCCTCAAAATCACCAACGATCTACTAACCGTCAAAGCCAAAGGCGACTACTCTGTCCTCCTCCTCCTAGACCTCAGTTTGCGGCTTTTGACACAGTCGACCACCCCCTCCTCCTTAATAAACTACTCCTCCCTTGGCATCAGAGACACCGCTCTCTCTTGGTTCTCGTCCTATCTATCCCAACGCTCCTTCAGCTTTTCCTAAAAACGGCGCCACCAGCCCTGCATTCCTCTTCCCTCCCCCTCTCTGTTGGGGTCCCCCAGGGCTCTGTCCTTGGACCCCTTCTCTTCTCCCATCGTGGCATTTCTACACTCCTCCCTTGGCAAACTCATACACTCCCACGGCTTCAACTACCACCTCTATGCTGATGATACTCAAATCTACCTATCCACCCCTCACCTCACCCCCACATTCTCCGCCCGCATCACTCACCTCCTAAACGACATCTCTGACTGGATGTCGCTCCATTTCCTCAAACTCAACCTCTCCAAAACCGAGCTTCTCGTCTTTCCCCCTTCCCGCCCCCCCCCCCCCCCATCCTTTCCATCACTGTCCCAACAACACCACCATCAATCCGCCCAGCAAGCCAAGGTCCTTGGCGTCATTCTGAACTCAAACCTTTCCTTCCAACCTCATGTCAAATCACTCACAAATACATGCAGGCTCCACCTTCGCAACATCGCCAAAATACGCTCCTTCCTTACCCAGACACCACTAAACTACTCGTTCCACTCCCTGATTATCTCACGCCTTGACTACTGCAACTCCCTCCTCATCGGCCTACCCCAGTGCAAACTCTCCCCGCCAGACCATCCTGAACTCAGCTGCCAGACTCATCCACCTCACCAGCCGCTCCACCTCTGCCACCCCCCTCTGCCTCTCCCTCCACTGGCTCCCCATTGCCCAACGCATTAAATTCAAACTGCTCACTCTGACCTATAAAGCCATTCACAAACACTGCCCCTAACTACCTCACCGACCTGATTCCCAAGTACCACCCTACCCGTACCCTTCGCTCTTCACAGGACCTCCTTCTATCTTGCTCCCTGGTCTCCTCCTCCCACGCACGACTGCAAGACTTCTCCAGGTCCTCCCCCATCCTCTGAAACTCACTACCCCAATCCATCAGACTGTCACCTTCCCTCCTCACCTTCAGGCGCTCCCTGAAAACCCACCTCTTCAGGGAAGCCTACCCCACCCTCACCTAACAGCCGCTGCCCTTCCCTCCTCCTACCACTCCATCCCCCACAGCCGTTTCCTCCTGTACCTCTACCCCCTCCCTCCTAGATTGTAAGCTCGAAAAGAGTAGGGCCCTCTTACCCCTTGTGTGCTGTTTGATGTTACTGTACTGTTTCATGTATTGTCCCCCCTCTATTGTACAGCGCTGAGCAAACCCTTTGGCGCTATATAAACTCGATAAATAAATAAATAAATATGCAGCGTCGCCATTCGGTGGCCTGGGAAAACCGTGATAAAGATACGGCGGTTCTGCCTGCCCCAGCCCCCGCTCCATCACCCGCTCCGTTACTTGCTCCGTCACCCGACGTCAATCGCCCTCTATCAGCCAGTCAAGGCTCCAACACCTCTGCTGAGGGGAGTTGTCGCTCGTTGGCATCTTCCGCTCGTTCAGATGCTCCTTCTCCTGCTACTCCTCTTCACGGATTCCGTCAGCAGTCTTTCTTGGAATCCGTTTCCAAGAGACAACAGTTTTGCGAGCACGCACCCGACGGTGCAGAAGCTGAACGTCCTCCTGTCCAAGTTGCTGGTGCTGCAGTCCCTCCCTTTCCAAGTGGTGGACTCAGCACCTTTCCGAGAAATGATGGCTTGTGCCGAGCCGCGGTGGAGAGTGCCAAGCCGGCATTTCTTCGCCAAAAAGGCAGTGCCAGCCCTGCATTCACATGTAGAAGAGATGGTGGGCCAGTCTTTGAGCATGTCGGTCTCTGCCAAAGTGCACGGCAGCGCCGACGTGTGGAGCTGTAACTACGGTCAGGGACAGTCCATGTCATTTACGGCCCACTGGGGGAACGTGGTGCCGGCACAGCCGCACCAGCAACTTGGACAGGTCAAGCCGCTTTTGCCTCCACGTTTGCACGTCCTTGGTCCAGCAAAGATGTCCGCCTCTACCACCTCTTCTTCCGCCGTGTCCTCAGCCGCCACCCCCGTGCCAAGTCCCATTACCCGACCGGCATATCACATGTGCAGGGCGCAATGGTGTCACGCTGTGCTGCACCTGGTATGCCTTGGCGAACGTAGTCACACAGGGGAGGAACTTCTGAGTGTAATGAACAGAGAAATCGACAGATGGCTGTCTCCGCGCAAACTGAAAATCGGAACCATGTTGACCGACAACGGAAAGAACATGGTGTCTGCTCTGCGTCAAGGAAGGTTGTGCCATGCGCCATGCATGGCTCACGTGTTCAATCTGGTTGTCAAGCGGTTCCTAAAATCCACCATCCCACTGCAAGACATCCTTAAAATGTCACGTAAACTTTGCATGCATTTCAGCCATTCCTACACCGCAAAGCACACCCTCCTTGAGCTGCAGCGGCAGAACGGAATTCCACAGCATCGCCTGATCTGCGACGTTGCAACAAGGTGAAATTCAACCCTACATATGTTAGACCGCCTTTACGAACAGCGAAAGGCCATCACCGATTTCCTGATGTTACAAGCGGATAAAGGTACTCCCTGTGTAACTTAGATGTCAGCCATTGGCAGCTCATGCGTGACACCTGCCGCTTGCTCAGGCCCTTTGAGGAGGCCACGCTATTCGTGAGTCGGCAGGACTATGGGATGAACGACGTCATTCCTCTGTTGCACGTCCTGGAACAAATGCTGTTAACAATGGCTGGTCAGGGTGCGGTAGACGTGGCGCACAGATCTCAACGCCACATGACCCCTGTGGGGGCAGGACAGGAAGAAGAGGAGGAGGTAGAGGAGGACATTGGAGCTCAGGAATTATTGAGTGAAATGGGTGGTTTTTCCACTCAGCGGACAGGAGTGGAGGAGCAGGAGCATCTGATAGAGGAGGAGGAGGAGACAGAGGACCCAGATGCACCATGGCAGTATGCTGTGGAGATGGAGGCAGGGAGTCCCTCGCATTCCTTGGCACAAATGGCCCATAGCATGCTCGGTTGCTTGCGTAGCGACAGCCGAATAATAACCATCAGACAGAGGGATGACTTTTGGCTGTCCACCTTGTTGGACCCTCGCTACCGTTCAAAAATGGTGGCCTTTTTCACACCTGCTGAGAGGGAGGCCAAAATAAAGTACTATAAAAACCACCTATGTAGTCAGCTGGTCTCTGCCTGCGCCAACGTCCATCCTCAGACACTGTGGGCCCTGTGCGCTCCAGAAAGAGGAACAACCCGTTTCATATACGGCCCGTAGACGTTTCACGTCTGCCACATTCAGTCGATTTAAGACGCCAGCTCCACTTCCTGTGGTCTCTGACCGTCGATATACCTTTAAGTGTCAGCTTTGAAGCTATATTCCCTCCGGAGCACTGACACTGGTGCCCTTCCGTCAACATGCCTTTAAGTTTCAGTTTTCAACCATATTCCCCACAGAAGCCAAACTCTTGGGTATCCCAGAAGCTGCTCAGCGGGTCAGGGCAATAAAGCTCCTGGTTCGCAGGTTGTTCCGTCTTATGGATGGAAGTACGACGGTATATGATCTTCTTTGCACCCACGGCATCACCTCATAGAATCTCTGCATTGCATCTGCAATCACAACGCTGACTTCCCGGATCGCCACTCAGCCATTGGACTCTTGATAGTCGTCTCCCCACACTGCTGCTGGGGGACTTTTTAACCTAGGCCTGTGTATGGCCTTCAATTGAAGCTGCTTCCGCTCTGCCACTCTGCCATTGGACTCTTGATAGTCGTCTCCCCACGCTGCTGCTGGGGGGACTTTTTAACATAGGCCTCTGTATGGCCTTTAATTGAAGCTGCTTACGCTCCGCCACTCTGCCATGGGCCTCTTGGGTATCCCAGAAGCTGCTCAGCGGGTCAGGGCAATAAAGCTCCCGGTTCGCAGGTTGTTCCGTCTTATGGATGGAAGTACGACGGTATATGATCTTCTTTGCACCCCCACGGCATCACCTCATAGAATCTCTGCATTGCATCTGCAATCACAACGCTGACTTCCCGGATCGCCACTCAGCCATTGGACTCTTGATAGTCGTCTCCCCACGCTGCTGCTGGGGGGACTTTTTAACCTAGGCCTGTGTATGGCCTTCAATTGAAGCTGCTTCCGCTCCACCACTCTGCCATTGGACTCTTGATAGTCGTCTCCCCACGCTGCTGCTGGGGGGACTTTTTAACATAGGCCTCTGTATGGCCTTTAATTGAAGCTGCTTACGCTCCGCCACTCTGCCATGGGCCTCTTGGGTATCCCAGAAGCTGCTCAGCGGGTCAGGGCAATAAAGCTCCCGGTTCGCAGGTTGTTCTGTCTTATGGATGGAAGTACGACGGTATATGATCTTCTTCGCACCCACGGCATTACTTCGTAGAATTTCTGCATTGCATCTGCAATCACAACGCTGACTTCCCGGATCGCCACTCAGCCATTGGACTCTTGATAGTCGTCTCCCCACACTGCTGCTGGGGGGACTTTTTAACCTAGGCCTGTGTATGGCCTTCAATTGAAGCTGCTTCTGCTCCGCCACTCTGCCATTGGACTCTTGATAGTCGTCTCCCCACACTGCTGCTGGGGGGGCTTTTTAACATAGGCGTCTGTATGGCCTTCAATTTAAGCTGCTTACGCTTCGCCACTCTGCCATGGGCCCCTGTACCGCCTCCTCTTGCTGCTGCTGCCAGGTCCAGAGTGTGTCATGGGTCCCTGTACGGCCTCCCATTGCTGCTGACTTCATCGCCAGACTCTGCCATGTGCCACTTTCAGGTCTCCTTACACTGTTGGTGGGTTCCATTTTGTGATAGGGTGCTGTATGGCCTTCCATTGCTGCTGCCTCCAGCGCCACCCTGCGCCATGTGCCTCTGTCGTCTGCTCACGCTGCTGACGGCTTCTGCTTTTTAACCGAGGCCTGTGTTTGGCTTCCGAATACTGCTGCATCCACCGCCACCCTGCGCCATGTGTCTCTGTCGTCTGCTCACGCTGCTGACGGCTTCCGCTATTTAACCTAGGCCTGTGTATGGCTTCAGAATAATGCTGCCTACACCGCCACCCTGCGCCATGTGCCTCTGTCGTCTGCTCACGCTGCTGCCAGGTTTATTATTGATTCATGAACGTGGTTCAGCGGGTTTGCATCACTTAACGGCAAATCGTTGACAAACGCTGGGACGTTCAGTGTGTTGTGCGCATTAAGCCAGACACCAAAGGGCAGCACAGACCTGTTATTACTCGCTCAAGCATGGCTGAACAAAACCAGTCTCTACCACAAATTGGACCCAGACCTGCCCAGGGTCTCGTAAGTAGATTGCACGGAGGAGTAGAGTTCGTTATTGGAATTAACTGTGAGGGACTTTTAAACCTAGGCCTGTGTATGGCCTTCAATTGAAGCTGCTTCTGCTCCGCCACTCTGCCATTGGACTCTTGATAGTCGTCTCCCCACGCTGCTGCTGGGGGGACTTTTTAACATAGGCCTCTGTATGGCCTTCAATTTTAGCTGCTTACGCTCCGCCACTCTGCCATGGGCCCCTGTACCGCCTCCTCATGCTGCTGCCAGGCCCGTAATCTGCCATGGGCCCCCGTACCGACTCCTCATGCTGCTGCCAGGCCCGTAATCTGTCATGGGCCCCTGTACCGCCTCCTCATGCTGCTGCCAGGTCCAGAGTGTGTCATGGGTCCCTGTACGGCCTCCCATTGCTGCTGTCTCCATCGCCACACTGCCATGTGCCACTTTCAGGTCTCCTCACACTGCTGGTGGGTTCCATTTTGTCATAGGGTGCTGTATGGCCTCCCATTGCTGCTGCCTCCACCGCCACACTGTGGCTCCACACTCTGGTTTTGGCCCCGTGACTGCCCAAATGAGTGAAGTGTGCTGTGATTCTAAGATCGACGGCACTCATCTGCATGTCATACTGACTGACAGTATTATTTCTCTTCCCCAGCAGACTCCAAGGGCATTTAAATAAAGGTACAGTGTTCTGCACTAATATAAAGGCTCTCTGAAGCCTAGAAACACCCTTTTTATAAGTTAAATTCGCAGCGAATATATTCGGCTCGAAGCGAATTTATTCGGCGAATTCGGCGAATCAGCCGAACCAAATTTTTGAATAATTCGCTCATCTCTATATGATACCTCTGGATTTTACAAGACCTGGAACTACAAGTCTCCATTTCACTAAAGTCAAACTGGCAATCATGGCAGTACATGGGAAACATACAGCCAATTGTGACAGTACACGGGCAGCAATCAATCCATCTGTTGGTGGGGGAGGACTCCATGCTGCTACAATCCTTGGACAGTATGCATTCTGTGGTCCATACTCTTTAATGGGCATTCTGGAGTCATCGAGTTCTTATTCTGCCCTACTAGCAATGTATAGCCTGGGTGTGAAGAGCCTCTTCGTATTTGTCCATGCCTTCAGCATGTTGTCACAGACGGGATTTTATTAGCCCTGTCCCCCGTTCTTCTGGCTGTGAGCAGTATCTTCCACACCTTTATACCAGTTCACAATAAGAGATCTCATGAAGAAGAATTACTAGTGAAACGCGTAGAGATTCCATAGCTTCTCAAGTCCCACTTTGACTGCAGCAATATCATTTTTTTGGCATATGTTCAGATCACCACATAATCTATTATTTTACACAACTGTCTACAGTGGGCTGAGGCCTGGTAGTGTCTGGTATATTTGAACTATCTATTGATGTTGAAATTTGGATCCGATTTTAATTCAATGTATGGATTAAAATGTGATATTTTAATCTTATAAATTGTCTGTGTCCACTCCTGAACTGTTAAACACCATCAAAGTCCCATTTTCTGTTTTATAATCTTTTGCTCTGAAATTGAAGAAGTGCTTTGTATACCCATTCATGCAATGTTTACATGACAATAAATGGGCAACAAATGGCCAACTGTTACAGTGCCTTTGCAACAAACAATTGTTACAATGTGCAGGAAACAAACAGGCAATCATGATACTATGAGAAAACTAAACAGGCACGTGTGACAATACATAGGAAACAAACAACCATTATTTACAATGGACATGCAGGAAAAGGACAATTGTGACAATAAGCAGGCAACAAACAGGCAAATGGTACAATATACTATGTTCATTATAGTGCCCAGTGACATCTTTCCAGCTACTGAGGGACTATTTCTTGATGCAAAAAAACGTCAAAGATAGTTGAAAGGTCCTGATTGCTTGCTGCACCCTTAATATTCATCAGGAAAAAAAATTTACCTTGGCCTTTTTGGTTTAGTTTTACCAAAATGGTTAATTTTAGCAAAATGTTCAGATTTTTATGCTGACATAAGCGAAAAAGAGAAACCTGCATGTGTTTTTATCTTATGTGCAGAGAATGGCACAATTTAGGAAACGGAACAATAATGATTCATGAACTCTATTAATTAGTGTATGCTGAAAAAGTCTATATTCAAATGTTCAAGGAAAAAATATTTTCAACGTGATTAACTAAGGACAAAACTTTTTTTTTGGATAGAGTGTAGAGGGATTAGAACACCTGTCTGTTTTATTGCTGTCTGTGCCCCTATTAGGGAGATTCCCCCTCTATATTTGTTCTGTTTACCATTATCACCGAAAGTGAAAGTAAAAGAAAATCCCAAATTTCGGGTTGTAACCAGAACAATAATAGAGGGGACATCTTCCAATTGGGGGGACACTAGTTCTGGTGCCCCTGGTGACACACTGTGATTCCCTAACTTTGGAGAGATTTCCTCTCACTTCATGTTGTGACTGTGTTCTGACAAGAAGTAATAGTAAAGCAGAATGACAGTATATTGCTCTGCCCAAAGTCTAGGTCAGGATCTATAGCTAATGAGTGTTTCTTCTCCCTATAGCAGCCCTTGTTCCCTTAAGGCAAGCAGGCCTTCTGGTACTTGGTTGCCCCAGGTCTTAGTACACAATTATATAGATCCTAGCCGCATGACACCTGAACTGAGCATAGATAGCAGTAAAGGGTACCTGTAGCCTTGAGGCAAGTCGGGCAAGTACTGTAGTACCACTGGAAAGTGCCCATGGGATAGTCCAAGGTCAGGACGGGCTGCAAGCAAGCATGATCCAGTATCTAGTTCTGAGGTCAGGGCCAGCAGTGGGCAGGTGTGTTGCAGAAAATGATTCCAAGGTCAGGGCAGTCAACAAATAAGACTAGTCTAGTAAACAGTCCAAGATCAAGGCTTGTGGCAAACCAAAAATGTAGCTAGTAATCTAAGCAGGATCAATAAGGTATTGAATGCAGGTAGACAGACCAGGGACTAGCAGAGATTCAGGTAGGGAGCCAGGAAGCAGGAAAAAGCCCAGAACCCCATGCTTGCGATGCTTAAATACAGCATCAGAAATAGGCACCCGGTCCAGGCAGTGCAGGGAGAAGCAAGGGTGTGTGGCTACTGGGCAATTAATGAAAAATGGAACTAGGCAGACAGAGCAACCTACTGCCTAGCTTTGAGGAAGCCCTGCCCATATCCACTGAGGCTGGCCAAATGGCACAGAGTGGATACTATCCTTGTTCCCTGGTGAAGAGTATGCCAGCACTGCCGAGAGCAACAGAGGTAGTTGCAAGAGTCTCACTCATGCTTCTAACAGGCAGAAAGATGAGCTCATCATTATGCTGCTTCTCCTTTTACTGTACAGTCTCAGCCTGGATCTGGGAGTACCTAGGCTCAGAGGAAGTGGGTTTACCTCCCTGGCGGTATGATTATTTCCGATTTTTGGTGCTGAAAGCGGTACCATTATTTTGCATGGAAATATGTAGTTTTTTTATTGTAGGCTGTAATATTTAGGAATAACTCACTGAAATCTGTCTGAGCAAGAGTCTATTAAACATCCCGGGGATGATAAAATTTTAAACACAAAATCATAAATTATAATTTAATAAATAATCATAAAAAATAATAATATAATATTAATACATTTAATTCAATAATATAATCAAACCAAAAACACTGAAATTTGAAATATAGCGCCAAGTTCGCACATCGCTGAGCAAAGTCGCAGAATCGTTTTCAGTGTCTGATGACGAATTTCCCCACAAATCATTATCACTCAATTCTGCAAGTAGTTCTAATTTACTATCGCTGTTCTCCAGCTGATCTAAACCGCTTTTGACCTAAAGGGACACTTTTTGGACGCCATGGACGTTTCTCAGTTTCCAGGCAGAAAGAACAGACAAAATGCAGGCAGGGCACAGGACAAAGCACTAGGGACAAAATGTATGTGAAATTGGTTGAGGCAGCAATGTTTTACTATGTAAAATGTAAAAAAAAAAAATTACATTATTTAAAATTTTTAAATTTCCCGCCTCCCGCGGGGCCCGTACGTCCCGACGTCACAGGGACCGGAACACAGAAGCCGGATGCCGGCATTGGACGAAGGAGATGGCCGGGGACGCTGCAGGGGACACATCGCGGGAGCACAGAACAAGGTAAGTGAAGAACAAATTCCGGAGCAGTGCCGCATGGTATTCCCGAGTGTAGCTCGGGGTTACCGCTCTTGGTACTGAAATGTTACCCCGAGCTACACTCGGGAATACCGCCAAGGAGGTTAAGCAATGCTGCCATCAGACTGATGCCATCTAGTGGCAAGGAAGTGCTGAACCAGAAAGCTCTGTATTGAAAGTGAATATTTTATCTTTTAACCTCCCTAGCAGTGTGATTATGTCCATATTTCTGTGCTCAAAGCGGTACATTTTTTTGCATGGAAATATGTAGTTTTTTTTATTGTAGGCCTGTAATTTTTAGGAATACCTCACTGAAATCTGTCTGAACAAGAGTCTAGTAAACATCCCGGGTATGATAAAATTTGAAACTCGAAATCATAAATTATAATTTAATAAATAATCATAAAAAATAATAATATAATAATAATAAATTTAATTCAATAATGTAATCAAACCAAAAACACTGAAATTTGAAATATAGAGCCAAGTTCGCACATCACTGAGCAAAGTCGCAAAATCATTTTCAGTGTCTGGTGACGAATTTCCCCACTAATCATTATCACTCAATTCTGCAAGTAGTTCTAATTTACTATCGCTGTTCTCTAGCTGGTCTAAAACCAATTTTGACCTAAAGGGACGCTTTTTGGACGCCATGGACGTTTCTCAGTTTCCAGGCAGAAAGAACAGTAAAAATGCAGGCAGGGCACAGGACAAAGCACTCGGGACAAAATGTATGTGAAATGGTTTGATACAGTAATGTTTTACTATATTAATTTAGTGAATTTAGTGAATGTTACTTTTTGTCATTTTCAAATTTCCCGCCGTTCCATCCCCGTACGTCCCAACGTCGCAGGGGATGGAACCCGGAAGACAGATGCCGGCATCCGCCAGAGGACATTACAGGGGACACTGCAGGAGGGACATTGCGGGGGTGCAGGACAAGGTAAGAGAAGAACAGATCCCGGAGCAGCGCCGCATGGTAAGCCCGAGTGTAGCTCGGGGTTATCGCTTGTGGTACTGAAACTTTACCCCGAGCTAAACTCGGGAATACCGCCAGGGAGGTTAATTTATATGTTATTATTTTTGGCTGGAATCTGTTTTAGGCACTGAAAAAACAAGGTCAGTGTTTATGTTCTCTAACATCCTCCTTTGGAGTATTACATATTCCTACTTTTTAATATCTGGTACACTTTTTAAAGGGTTCTTAATTTTCTTGAAAATGTGAACTCCTTTAAGCCCCCTTTTCTAGGAAGCAGCTATCTGAAATAGGCAAATATATCTCAATGCTCCTATAGTAGTGCCAACCTGCAATTCAAACATTCCAACTGATGTATGTGATTTCCTTCACAGATTCACATTGGCCACATTGCTTCGAGTTTCTTAGAAACCTGAAATACTATTTGCATTTACAGCCCTTGGACTGTGTTTGTAATTTAGCATTACTTCTCTAAGTTCGGCAGTTCTGTGGTTCTACTGAGGTGCCTTGAGTTCATTCTGTTGTAAATTTGGTTTAAGCTCCATTCCTTCTACAGGTTTTCAGTTGCACCATCTAATTGAAATTTAGAACAGACTGGCTCCCAGCTTCCATAATGCCAGAATTAAACATTGACTGACTGCAATGTCTATGATTTAATAGTTTGTGTAGAAAAGAAGCAATGTTGTAACTCATGAATATATTATAGTGCACTATTTGTATCCTAATTCCTTTTTCCCCAATACCTTGCAAACCGTTATTACATTTTCTTGTGGTCAATTACATTCTGACAGAATTACAATGTTTGCCTACAATATTCAGCGCATGCATACCTAATACCGTGCTGGATCTGAGTGAGTGTGAGTATGTGAGTATATAGTTTAGTCTCAAACATAATAAAAACTCAAAAATATACAATATTGTATAACCTCATATTTACGACCATTGATTTACTTTCATTATTCCTTTTGAGTGGAGTTTAATCAAAAACATGTGACTTTTTTATTACAAAGGTGTGTAATAAAAGAAATAAATAGACAGATAGTAGCTGCAAGTACCCCATATACTATTTGACAATCAGTTTGCATGCTTTAAATAGTCAATTTATCATAGCAGGAAACACAAAAATACTTTGCTGTATGAATTGTTGCAGCTATGTTCAATTTCTTTATATTGAATTTCAAAAGAAAAAAATATATACGCTCAGGTAGTTGACACATTTACTGCATGAATCAACTTTAATGTAGAGGTTTCCACCACAGCAAAGAAAAGAACATTTGTTTAGCAGTGCTAGGTAAAATGGCAGTCAGCACTAAGTTGGAGACTGATAAGTACCTATATTATTCTAAGATTAAAATCTTGAAAGATTTACTATATATTGTAAGCCTACAATACATTATACCTAAATATTATGTTTATTGCATTGGTTTGGATTCAGATTAGTGCTTGATATGTACACAGACCATAAAGCTTTCATGTTTGTTTAATGAAAAGCACAGTGGCTAAGTGTTTAGCACCTCTGCCTTGCAGCACTAGGGTCTTTGGTTCAAATCTCAACCATGACACTACCTGCTTGGAGTTTGCATGCTCTTCCTGTGCCTTCATGGGTTTCCTCTGGGTGCTCCAGTTTCCACCCACACTCCAAAGACATGCTGGTATGTTAGTTGGCTCCTGACTAAACTGGCCCTAGTAGGCTTTAGACTGTAAGATCCTCAAGGGCAGGGACTGGTATGAATGTACAATAAATACTGTGTGTAAAGTGCTGTGTAATCTGATGGTGCTATATAAGTACCTAAAATAAACAATGAAATGTTGGGAAAGTTAAAGTGTTACTAAATGCAGGACCCTGCATTCACTATATCTGGTCTCCCACAGTACACAGAACATGTAAATGTACGCTGATATTTTTTTTCATTAGCAGTTTTTTTACTTCTATCAGTGTCTGTCTGAGCACTGGTTAAAGCTTGTAGGAGGAGGTTTCATTTTCCTCTGACTGTCCTATGAGGCTGTATAACCCCTGACCCTCTGTCTGGACAGTTCTGATTGATACTGTGCTGATCATATGTATTCTCCCAAAGGAAAAAAAAATCTCTAGCAATACACAGTTTATGTGAGTCTCTGCTACACCATACTCTCAGGTACCCATCTGTTATTATTTTTCCTAGAAGGTCATATGCCAGCCACCATTATCTTGTACAAAAGACTATCCCTGCCCTCCATCAGCAGGTGGAATTCCATGATGTAGCAGGTTGCAGAGGAGGAATATGAGGAGAAGGAGAAGGGCTGGGCTATTGGTGGTGAGGAAAAGGGTTAGGGTCCTGGTGGTGAGGGGGAGGAGGGTTGGGATTCTGGTGATGAGGAAGAGGAAGAAATGGGGGTAGCTTGAGGGTGACATTTTGTCCCTCCCTGCCCATCGCCACTCCTTTCACCCACTGAAGGCTCAAAGACACCCTGTCTGTTAAACATTATCCTTCCAGCCTCTGGAAATAAGTGACACAGGTTCCTGTGTCCTGCTTGCATATGGTGTACCACATCCACAACCACCACTTTGGCCTGTGGATACAAATACGTTTGTTCTTAGCTATTGGAAGAGCTGTATGAAGGTAAGTGGTGTTTGGATGTACTGTAAACTGTGGTGCTTGGGTTCATTGTACACTGTGGTTCTTTGGTAGATAAACAGCATGTCAACAATCTGTGGTGATCTGCTGCAACCAAACTGCAGCTGTTGTGGTGACACCAACAGATTCATGCTGCTGTTGCTGTAAAAAAAATAAAATAATATCCTTACAAAATAAAACCCATATACTGTAAATAAAAACAAAAGAACATAAAAAATAACCCCACATCCAATTCACGGACACACAAAACAGAACTAAAACTGCATCATGTGCTGATCTTTCTCAATACTCCACACTTCACACTCCCTTGATATAAAATCATGCTCATAGGTCAGAAGTCAATATATCTCCCTGCTTCTCTCCTATACTCTGTACATTTACTGGATTGTAATATTATGTTGTCATAATGCTTACACTGTTATATTCTGTATTGCCTTTTATGCTTTGACCCGTCTGCGCAACGGGAGGCGACATGCTATGTTTTGTTCAGATGTGGATCCATAACTGTATTTGCATTGTTATGCCTGTTTTCTTCTAATAAAAATTTTTTTGGAAAAAGAAAAAAAAAAAAAGAAAAATAACCCCACACCAAACCACAAACACTTTTTTTTGCTTAACGTGATTGTAAAATTTACATTTAGTATTAAAACAAAAAAATATGTTTATACCTACCTGTTCTACAATGGTAATGCACAGAGCAGCCCCAAACCTCCTCTTCATGGGTCCCCCGCTGGTGCTATCGGCTCCTTCTCTTTTTGGTGCACCACCATAGGTAAACAACACAGGTCTCTCTCCTGTCAGCAAGGACATGATGCTAAAAATGGGTGGAACATGTCACTTGTTCCCAAAGGTGAACTTATCATTTAAAGGTCCATAAGATAAAAAAGAAAACAAAAGAAAACACTGATACACTGTAAAGGGCACATTTCCCATTCTGCTTAACAGTGTATCAAAATAAGCTATCCAATATGCCACACGTTCAGGATTATTTATATCCAAAACGCAGCAGTTGGGTCAGGTGCAGCTGCTTTCAGAAACAACTTTCTTTATTTTTAGAAATCATAGAATCCTAAACTTTCTGTTTTGTACTTACCTTACAAGTACAGTACTATTACCTTACAGTAAGTGAAAATAAAGGTGCTTTGAACATCTTAAAAATATTATTCTGCTGAAATATATTACAAGGTCTTCAGAACGCAATTTTTAAATTTCATGTAATAAATGTTACACTCTGACATTTAAATTCCCATTTCCCTCTAAAATATATTTTCAAAATACATTCTGTATGAAGACTTTGTAAGGGCTTGATCCTAGAATTCGGTTGTTGCTTCATCTCTCTACAGGTTTTATCCCTGGAAAGTTTACTTAGCAGAATAAAGCTCTTATTGCCCAATATATTTTTATGAATTATGACTGCAAACTGTCAAGCGTCTCCAGTTGAAATAAATGTAATCAATCACAGCAACATGTCATTTCCCGCGACACTCATGGTGCAGTCTGCTCTCTAATTACATCTCGACTCGCTGCTCGGAGGTGTACCTCTTAAAGTTGCAGCATCTCAGGAGCAGACTCTTTAGATTTTTTTTCCCTTCAGTTGTGTAAGGCTGTGTAAGAAATGTTATTGTTTAGAGAAAAAAATATTTTACAACTATATATTGTCTTTCAGGTTTTGTCACCTCCCAAGTTTCAATAACTCAGTGTGAATCTCCTCAGTAGGTTTTTTACATTCAATAGTTCCGTTCTATTTGGAAGTATAAGATGTTATAAAAAACAATACAGACCATCCAACATCACCTGTTCAGAATACTCTGCACCTGCAGTTTTCACTGTATTTGCTAATAAAAGACTTCATGAAAGATGAGCAAAATAAAGATTTTTTATTTTGGTGAAAATCCTGATATTGTGGTAAAATGCATTCATTACAGTCAGTAGGAAGGCAAAGTTAAAGTGGTTTTGGAGGTTTTAACCACTTCATCTTGGGGCAATACTAACACTTCTCACATACATGTAAAAATAAGCATTTTTGCTAGAAAATTACGTGGAACCTCCAGACATTATATATTGTTTGAAAGTAGAGACCCTGAAGAATAAATTGGTGAATATTTAAATTTTTATGTTGCATGGTATTTACTCAGCCATTTGTAAAATTCTAATTTTTGTGCACACAAACACAATACCCTTTTTTTTGGTAAAATATTAAAGTAAATAAATGCCACATGTCACACCTTAAAACTGCTTATGCTCTTGGAATGGCAACAAACTACGTTATCTACAAATCTCCAATGGGAACTCTTTAAAAGCCTTTTTAGGCTACTGTTTTAAACAGGAAGTCTGGTGCTGGAATTATTGCTCTCACATTTGCGGTGATACCCTCACATGGGTGGTCTGATTGCCGTTTACATATGGGAGCAGGACCTAAGTATGTGTTTGCATTTGCACATTAGCACAGGGGGATGGGGCAGTTTACTTATTTTTTACTTTTATTA